TTTGTAAAAAAAAAGACCTATCAAAATCCCGCAGACGACGGCTTCGATAACTAGAAAACTATTTTCAATTCGACTTATCGGTCATATCTTAGAGGAAGAAAAATATCAACAACTCGACATCCTGCAAGGTTTGCACATTGCAATGTAATTTTTTAAAGCATGTTTCATTTGACGTGACTGGAAAATCTCACTGTGCAGTAGTTAAAATAATATTTTCCCTTATCTCAATTTGAATTGAACATTTTGGAGCGTTTTCTATAGTCGAAATAGGCGATAGCGATTCATGCCACCAACAGTGTTTCACTACAAACAAGCTGATAAGTAATCAACTTGGGATATTCGACTTATGACCGTTTTAATAGCATCGAAATGTCTTATCGTATTCCACCTTTAATTAGTTTTATCATTTAGCAAACAGTTTATCGCATTTTGAAGTTGATATATTTGATAAAGTCGTGGTTCACTTCTTGGAAGATTTATTATAGTCCACCGGGTACAGTAAATGCGTTGATATTTGATATACTTTTTCGCACGGTAAACAACAACGTTTTTTCGCTGGTAAGCGACTGCCATGCTTTGCATTTTTCATTTGCTCTACTGGCTAGTCGATGTCCTGTGATTTTGGCTGAACAGTGAAATGAATGTGCTACTAAATAATTTACACAACAGAAATTATAGGTGGCGTCCAGGTAATCATGTTTTTATTTAAGCTTTTCTATATTTCCGTACCTAGTGGTTTTCATTTATTAAGTGAACAGCCCTCACATTAGAAGAATTGTCCCGTGGGGATGTTCTCTTTTTTAACGAGGTCCAGAATGAAATAACATGTCATTTCCATTATCCCTCCGGATTATGGAGCGAAAAGTATTTTTATGAATAAGTATACACTTCTGACAAAACATTCGGCCAAGCACAAATTTAAAAATATGCATTTTTATTCTCACTCATTTAATAAATAGGTACCTAGTGAGAAACATTAACGTAGGGGATTCGCCGATGTGAGTTTAGGAGGGAATAGGACATTTTGCTACATGGGATGATTTTGAATGATTCCATGAGTGTATGAGCATTAAGATATAGCGTGATTGGGCATTTTAAGACGTTGAAAATCAAATTTTTCGCATCATTTAACTGGAGAGCGAAAGTCGGTTTTAATGGTGCATCAATGAAATAATGAAAACTTTTCAATGTTCTTTAACTATTTAGTTTGAATGTTAACGGAAAGTTTTCGTTGTAGGTTCAGGAGGTCCCAACCACCTGAACAGTGCCGCTCCTGGCGGTCCCAACCCTGCGGGGGGGACTGGGGACAATGTGAGCGTGTCAAATCCCTTTGATGACGTATCACCGAGTCCTCCACCACGAGGGGGTCCATTTCCAGGTGGGCCCCATCCTCCTTATCCGACAGGTAAACAGAACTGGTTTTTGTCACCTGTAGATCCTTTCACAAGTCTTGTTCTCATCCTAAAAATCAAGCAGATGTAAATTCTAGTGCACGTAGATTTGTCGTAAATACCTGTTTTCTAATCTGTTCAGGCGAGAAAACAGGTAAGTAGGTAGATAGAAACAAAACCATCGATGCCTTTGCCTCGGTACCTTTTCCAAGGGTGATTTGCTATACGTAACTGATGTAGTAATTCTGGGAGTATTGTATGTTGTCAACGGCACTTGGTTCCCGAAATGTCGCTATTGGTTATTGGTTGAGTTAGAGTAGTTTATGGTGAATATAGATGACGCTGTGTTTTAAAAATGATAAAAATGCATGTTTTTAAAATTCGACATACTCACCTCTCGAGCATTGGTCAACTATTTATGACTGCTTGTAATTTATTGAGAAACTCGAAGCTTTTGATCAAGTTTACACCGAAATAAAATTTGCAAGAAATCACACTTTGAAGGGAATACATTTTTACAATCAATGAGTAGAGAGTTTTAACCTCTAGACGGGTTTAAATATCTGAGAGTTATTAGGAAGCAAACGACTTGTTAATAGGCTCACTACAAACTCAATTGATAGAACCATTCAATCAGTATTTGCTAAATTTGAAAATTCGACGTTTAAAATTACGTTAGTATTACTATTTTGTAACTCTGAATCTGTCAAGTGGCTGTAGTGTAGTGAGTTGATTTATTTGATTATTTGTTTATTGTTTCCTGCATGACATTAAGAATGCTAAATATATGAACAGGTTATCCGCCAGCCGTAAGACCAGTCTATCCATATTCAGGTGAATCAACGGGTCCTTCTGCGGGACAGTCTAATAGTGGGCAGCCACCATCATCGTCACCTCAAGACCCGTATAATCGTTATAATGCGAATCCTGCTGGATATAGTCCCAGGCCGCCCTATGTGGGTTCGCAAGGTGCTGGCGGACCTCCGGTTTCACAACCAAGCGGTCCTGGTGCTTATCCAGGACATCAGGATTTCTACAGACCCGACCAGGTAAAAAACGAGCTCATCAAGAAGTTACATCGAGACTTATGTTGGTGCATTTTAGAACTCAGCGGCTGGTGCTTACAGTGGGGTATCTGCGTCGAACAAAAATATGCCTCCCCCAGGGCAGCAGCCCCCTAGAAGACACCCAGACTTTGCCAAAGATCAAGGATATCCTCCGTATGCACAACCACGAGCGCCGATGTATGGTGGGTATCTTCTTCATCTTGCTAATCTTTGAACCCTTCATCCGACACGCCTGGACGCAAGCAACAAGCTTCATTTCTTTCTCATTGTTGCAGGAGGATGGCCAAATAATAGTCAGTATAGACCACCACAGTATGGTACCCCTGGAAACAATCAGGTACCGCCTCAACAATGGAATCAAGGCGCAAGACCAGGTGGACCTTGGCCAAACAATCAGGGATATCAAGGTCCAAACCAACCAGGACAAAGTCAGTGGCAATCTATGCCCAATCAAACAGGACAGGCGTCTCCTATCCGGCCAGTGCACAGGCCGGGGAAACCTTTTCCTCCCATCATGCCTCCAGGAGGGGCAGTCAAAGGATCCAATCAGCAGCCAGTGGGCGGCAACTCGTACGGGCATGGTCAAATGCCAAAGAGGGAAATAACTTTCCCTCCAGACAGTGTCGAAAACGTTACTCCAGTATTGTTTCGGAGAAAAAAATTATGCAGGTCTGACATTGGCCCAGTAGATGCGTGGAAGTTGATTATGTGTTTGCGTTCAGGAATTTTGACGGAAAGCACATATGCTTTGGACATGCTTAATATTCTCTTATTTGATGATTCATCAGTCGGGTATTTTGGACTTAATCAGTGGCCCGGAATTCTCGACATTTTATTAGAACATTTTAAGAAAAATCTATCTGATATGTTTGATGGCCCTTACCCTAGGAGCAATCAATCATCTGACGTTGAAATTGATTTGGGCAGTGTGGTGAAACCCATAGATCCGAGTCTTAAAAATTCAGTTTTAAGTAAAACTGTGAATTATACCTTGCTATCGCGTCGTGGAGATCCGGTGAAATTTGTTGATCGACCCGAGGATATCTTCGTCCAAGATAATCTGAAGGATTGGGATTTGCGTGGGGATGTTAACATTGCCAACACATTGGCAGAAATTCCCGCCGATCCGTGGTATACCAACGCTGATCACATTTTACCAAACTTTCAAGCAGAGTTCGGACGAATACCATTCCATACAAAAATAGATGATAAAAAGCGAGAGGTTAAATCGGACGCGACCAAGAAAGAGAATAAAAGTCCAACGACAGCTCCACCACTAGAAGAAGCACCTCTTCCCAAAGTTAGTGACAAAAAACGAAATAGGACAAAAACTTTAAGTGATGTGATATCTCGAATTAAAAAAGAGTCAACTGAAGACAATGAAAAAGTGCTCATGTTAGAAACGTCCACCAAACTGGATACGGTTAAGACTGAAGTTGTAAGTGAAAATAGTTTGAACTGCGAGGAATCTGGATCCTCTAGTGTAGATCTGAATATTAGTGTAAATGGCGAATGTAGTAGTAGTACAGAAACTAGTAGCGGTGAATTGAAACGGATAATTAGTTCATCAACCAATGATGCAGTTGGTGGCTTCAAGCGGCGACGTCTTTGTGATTTCGAAGATGAATCATATTCCCGAGACGAGTCCAGTTTGGTTCTTCTAACAGAAAGCCAAGACAATTTGGGCAAGAGATGTGTCTGTATATCTAATATTCTTAGAAGTCTCACATTCATTCCTGGCAATGAAACTGAATTTGCCAAAAGTATTAGTTTCTTAGCACTTGTCGGAAAGTTATTATTGCTACACCATGATCATCCTCCACGAACTCAAAAGACTAGGAATTACGATCGCGAGGTGAGTGAATTTATTCCGTTTGTCCTGAAAAATTCAGCTGTCTATTTTTTGTTAAAATCCTTAAAAAGATTGGGAAAACGTATTACTAATTTGAACATGTTTGTTGTTGCAGGAAGATGCGGACTTTGCAGATTCGTGCAGTAGCTTACAAGGAGAAAACGAGTGGTGGTGGGATTTCCTGGCACAAATCAGAGAAAACATCCTGGTTTGCGTCGCAAATATTTCGGGACAAATTGACATTTCCCTGTACGAAGAAGACGTGGCCAGACCAGTATTGGACGGACTACTGCATTGGGCTATTTGCCCTTCTGCGACAGCTCAAGACCCATTTGCGTCGGCTGGACCAACATCATTGCTATCGCCGCAAAGGTTAGCCCTGGAAGCATTGTGCAAGCTGTGCGTCACCCACAGTAATGTAGATCTAGTGATAGCAACACCACCGTTCGTGAGGCTGGAAAAATTGTGCGCAGTACTTACAAAGCATCTCTGCCGGTCGGAAGATCAGGTGCTTAGAGAGTTTTCGATAAATTTACTACATTACTTGGCAGCGGCGGATAGCAGTATGGCGAGAGTTGTTGCACTGCAAACGCCATGTGTTTCGCTTTTAGTTGCGTTTATTGAACAAGCTGAACAAAGCGCACTGGAAGTAGCCAATCAGCGGGGAATAAGCGCGCTTAGAGACAACCCCGATTCGATGGGGACAAGTTTGGATATGCTTCGGAGAGCAGCAGCAACTTTAGTGTTTCTTTCACGCCACCCCGATAACAAAGCGTTACTGGTGCAGCAAGAATCTAGATTATTAGCTCTAGTTATGAGTCAGATATTAGATCAACAAGTTGCTTTGTTGATTTCCAAAGTACTCTTTCAAATATCTCGCAGTTAATCTGCCTCTGAGAGTACGTTGTAGATAACAGTTGAAAAGATGAAAAAGCGCGGAGGTCTCAAGTGCTAGCCGGAGAAGATCATGTTGTAGCTCATACTCTCTCGTACGCGATGCCGCATGAGTTGTGACGAATGATCCAAGTGAACGGAGTGAAGTAGTGTGTGTAACGTGTATGTAAAGAACCACACTGAGACCAAGACTAGATTGAGATTGAGATCTAGAGATCACACTTTGGAAATTGATTGGCTACTTTACGAACTAGCTGATCGATTCGTATGGTGTTATCAAATAATCTGTACCATTTTGTAAATTAAGCAACAGATGTTGCCTTTCTGGAAAATGTCTGAGGAAGGCATATGTTGTTGTTGCAATTATAAGTTTGTTATAAAGGAATGCAACTAGGTAATCAGGCTGTTGAGGAAGCAACACCCCTATTACTTATTGCATTAAACTTAAACGTTATTTATTATTTGAGATAAAACGGTAATCGTACAGTGATTATCTGAGACGCTGTCTGTTTTATTTCAACGAAATTATATTTTTTTTTAGTTTCTTACGCCACGGGCGTTGAATTCTTTTATTTCATGTTTGGTATTACTGTGCGAATGCTTTATACATGTCTGATAATGAATTTAATTAAATAAATGTACAAAGGAAGTACCGAATATGGTGTTTTTATACAAGTTTGAGTTTTCTGTGTATATTTAGAATGTTTTATACATCCCAATTTAGCTGTTACACTTAAATCTGTTACTGAACAAGGACCGGCTGTAAGATTAGAAAATGCAGTCTTGAACTAGAACTCAAAATGTAGTTTAAAATATGTGGTGATATTTTTCTGGCTGTAGGTATCCCTTATCGTATGTACGATTGCATAATGTAAATTAAGTAAATGCTGAATACACTATTTTCTTTTTAATTTATTGTCACTCCCATTTGCGACAATAGTTCTTTGATACCACACGCTTTAGAATAGGACTAAATAACGCAGTTAATTTTTGCGAAACCCAACGCACCGGCGTTACTTGTTAAGGTCACCTTCTTTCTTTAGTTTTATAGTCATTCATCGAATAAAGTGGTAAAACAAAATAGACAAAAGCGTCCTCTGAAGTGAATAAGTTGAACTTCGTCTTTTACTTCGATCTATTCACTGTAGAGGGCACCTTTGTGATATTTTGTTGGACGTATTCACTTTAGAGGGCGCTCGTTAACGTACAAGTTAGTTCATTTTATTCACTAAGTGTCTCCTTTTTTGGCTTTTAGTTCTCTATATTCACTACAGAGCATACTGAAGCAGAACACCATCGCGGTTAACTGTTTTATTTTAGAGACAGTAAAGAGACATTTCAAATGAATATACACTTTACTATTTTTATTATTTATTACATTTATACATTTTTTCTAGAAGAACAGTTTCTATAAATTTAGTTTAAATGGTATAATTTTTTATACACAGGGTGAATCATTATTATGATACAACCAGATTGAATCACGAACTTCTAAAAGGATTTAATTCCAATTGCCCCTGTTATTTTTGAAAAATTCAGTTTTGCGTGTCGAGAACAATCTTCAACTTTGTCCATCTCTCACTTTCATATAATTGAAAAACGCTGTTCATCCGTTGAACAAAAATTGTACAGCATTTATGGAGCAACTAAGCGTTATTCTTAGGCCTGGTGACTCAGTGACTTTTTAGGAGTGGCTGCAAAAGTTACTCAAAAAAATTGTTAATGACTATTAGAAATCTTGGTGTTGGCGCAGTGTTGCGCAAATGGCTTGGTACTCAGTTGCTGAAAAAACGATACAAGCCCAACTCGACACAGTGTTACTCAGGTCTACTTTAGAAGTTTGCAAATTGCAATAATAAAAAAACAACTCAATTTCGAACGCAGGAAATATGAATGAGAACACTGCATTATGGTAGTATCATTTATTGACTTTAAGTTTTTAGCCATTAAAATTATGTAGTTTCAATAAAACAAACCTTTTTTACAAACTTACATAGGAAAGACGGAAATTCTACAAAAATATCGACTGTGTCAAATTGATAGAAAGTCCTTACGTATATAAATAAAAATGTTTTGTACTTTACAGAACTCTCTTTAATGTTCTAAACATTGCAAAGCACACGGCACTATGAGTAAAGGTGTGTCCACATAAATCAATCAAATTTAGTTGTATAACAGCAATTGCCGCTAAAAATGTTAAACCTTCCAAATTCCATTTTGGTGTAAATTTCCAGATTTTTTACAATAATAGATTAGGTTCTAGTTTTCGAAGTAGGTGGCCAGCGTTTGATTAAAAAAGCAAATATATTAATAGCACAAACATACATTAATAAATATTGACTGTGAATACACCTTTAACATAAACTTATTTTAAGCAAATCACTAAGACAAAATGGTGGGATGGTCAATCGATGAAACTATAATATGTCGAACAAATACGGGGAAGTTACTACAAACAGGATTGAAGTCTTATTTCATACGTAGACTAAAATAAACTATGTATGTATGTATAATGTAAAATATACTTTTTTACAGTTGCTCCTTAAAAATTAAATGAGTACAATGACTACTTGACGATAAGAGTAAAGCTGTATCTTAAATCGTATTGATATACATTCTGGACGTCACGACAATTATGAACGAACTTTCTGGGGTGGTATTTTCGTACATCCAAAGCCTAATGATATAAGTCAGTAAATTTATTAGGATCGAGCAATAAGTTGAGTCCCGGTAAGTCCATTTACTGAAGCAAACACTCCATTCGCTCAAACACTTTAAATAAACTAACACCAAACTTGTATTCTCTGCTCAACTGAATTCCTTATTATAATGATATATTTATATTACATCTGTGTGATAATACGATTTAGTACTATTTATCATAACACGGTACTTTTGGGCACTGCGCGAAAAACGTTCGACTATTTAAGCAGTTGGTAATTGTTGGGACACTGTGTTGTGAAGAAATAGAAGCATAACAGCTGCTCAGGAGTGTCTACCCAGGAATGCTTTTACTGTACATATTTACAACACATTTAAATGTTTTGTATGCCTTGAGCTTGAATGCCACTCATCCTGACACTCAATGCCAAGAAAATTAACTAAATACACTTTTAGTGGCCTGTTTCGATCAGTAAGTAGACCTGGGAAGTCAGCCTGGACAAATGTACACATCAAACAAAAAGTAAAAAACACACTTACGCAATACAAAAACTTGATCCGAGATACTCCTTTCAATATTTAACGGGCGTAATGGAGTTTTCAGTCGTTTTCAATTCACAATTGGCAGAAATAAATCCATTCAAATGATACACTAGATGCAAATAATAGACCCAAACCCTTGCTTCATAAAAGTTCTTCAAATAAAGAATCCTATTCAAAGGTGCCATCGAACATAGTTCCTAAGTCCCCAAAAGGGGCTGCGCCGCTTCCATCCAACATCTGCAGCATATCGGATAGTTCATGTGGTTGAGGTTGTGTTGGCGGTCCGGTACTGCCAGGAACAGGTCCCGCTTCTGAGGCTTGAGCAGCACCTTGCCAGCTAGTCCACTGGTAAGAGGCAGTGGCAGGAGCTGGAGCGCCAGCAGCTGTAGCTCTTCCTCCACCACTTAATTGCGTGTAAGTTGGACCTGGAGATCGAGGACTGGGCTGGCCATGTCCATACTGGTATCCGTCTTTTCCCAATCTCGCCAGAACGGCCGCTCCGCCTGGATTGGCTGGCGTTTGTGATGGCGATCCGTACTGGATAGGCGACTGTGTTGGCTCGTAGTTGCTGTAAACGTTTTGTCCACTTCCAGGTCTTTGAGGAGCCTGCTGCGTATCAGTCATTAAGCGTGGATACCGATCGTCTTGTCGCTCATTGCATCCCGTTGACGATGCCATCGGTAAATATTCGTTTTGCAGATGAGCTGCTGGCAGCATATGCGAATATAGACCAGCCTCACGCCTTTGTATGCTGTAGTCCAATCCAGGTTGTTGGTAGCTCACTTCCGGAGCTTCAGTACTGCTCTCTGTGCTGGAATGCAGCGATTTGGCAGTTGTGTTTGTACACACTATGTATTCGACGTCATCAGTGTATGGGTTCAAGAATGAAAATGCACTTGTTCTAAGCCAAACGTATTCTCGGTTTTTGGCTCTAAACCGATACATTACCGACAACACTTGTCCTTTCAGCTTTAGAACTGCAAAACAAAATACGAAGATCAGTCATGTGATTTTTTCATTCAGGCGCATTTCACAGCTCTTCACAATAATCGCCTATTTGTGTTCAGTCACGTTCAACTCGCATAAAAGCACATATTATACATACTTTGTAACATTATACAGGGCATTTCGGATGATGTGTACATTATGACTAAGTTTTCTATTATTACAGTTAACATGCCGACTCAATCAGCACACTAACCGACATGGTAACTTTAATCATAAAGAAATTAGCATAGTACGCTCTTGATTTGCAACACCCGGTGTATTTCTTATTCTTTTGCCATTTATTTTTCTACGAAACTGAGCGATATCAATGTGGAACCCTTAAACATTGATGGTGCGGGAAAAATTATTTCATGCAAGAACATTTAAAGCTCTCAACATGTTGGAATCACTCCTGATTTTAAGCCAACTGGGAGAAATCGCTTTGATCAAATCGCGCAAAAAGCCATCGCAAGCATTTGAATGGCCACTACAGAAGAACCCGGAAACAATGGGAGAAATTCACCCATACTTCCTTGATTAAAGAGCTTGTCTTGTCTTGTCTTATTGTTATTTTCTCTATTTATCCATGGTTACCGAAGTTTTAAATAGTTACGAAGCAACAGGTATTTACGTAATGTTAATTAAGCAGATTCCCTTAAAAAAAAATTGTTGCCGTTTTTCTAATATAGTTTTTTGCAAATTTCTCAGGTTTTAAAAACAATTAATTTTTCTGTACTTCTAAAACACAGCCAGACAACACCTTCAGAGGAACAACGCCAATTTTGAATCACCCTCTCTGTCTTAGATAAATTAACATTTACAGTTTTTGTCGGGAGTTTTAAGCTGAAAAAGGAGCAATTAGATCGTTACTACTACTACGTAACTACTTTTGAGTAAATCTGATTAAGGATAATGAGATTAATAACGATAAGTAATTCAGGCTACTTTGTAACATGGTACTTCTGCGTTAATTTTTCACTAATTTTAATTTAGAAAACGGACGCTCTCCGCTACAGTAAGTTATCATTAAGGTTAAAAAACTCGTGAACAAATTTATATATTCGGAAAAACAAGAGCCTTTTGGGTCTAATTTCAAATTTCCTGCAAGATATTTATATTATAAGAAAAGACGAGTTTTGGCAAATGGCAAACCACTCAATCATGTGAGAATTTCACGTAAATTTTCGCCTTTCTTTAACTATATAAATCAAAATCAATTCCTGGGTTTCAATCATTTATTGTCTTTATTTATCAATTATTTATCAATCAATCAAATATTACCAAATGTATGCCAAGGCTTAAAGCAGCAACAACGCTACACATAAAAACTGATGATGGTGGAAAAATACACCGAAACGTATTTTGATTGATAAATAGAGACAATAAATGACTGAAACCCAGGAATTGATTTTGATTTGGAATTGAAACACAGTCAGTAGTATGTAAAATTTAACTATATACGCGTTAAAAACGATTATTAGTCACTCAACTTCAAGCACGATAAGACAAAGATTGATTTAATTATACATACCTTGTTCGAAGCTGTCTTTCATATGTGTTTGATCCTCATGATGAAAAAGATCGAAACAACTCTTGCCTAAAAGTTCTGGAGGAGAATACCCCAACAGCCCCATCACCCTTTGATCGACGAAGGTAAATTTGCCATCGATGGAGTGTCTGGATATGAATTCTGCATTGCTGCTGGATCCGGATAGGTCGCTAGTATTAGGAGTCGAAGTGACTTGCAGTCTGCCGATCGCCACTAAGCAGCAATGAGCAGTGTGCATGTCGTCCTCACTTTGCCTCTCCATTTGGACACCTGTGAACACGTCTGATATTTTCCCAGATTTAATTGTATATCATTCAGAATAAATCAATATGAAAATATATTTTGGGGGCCAGGTTGATGACCCTTCGACCTATGAAAGTATTTTTTCATATAAAAGTATCCGACACTAACCAGTAGGAGGCCAATTTTTTATGTAACCCGTGCAGTGCACAACAGCGTAGCTTTGCCCGTCTCTTGCTGGACCTAAACTATTTCGTTGCTTTAGCCTATTTAAATGCCCCACGCCCATATTCTCTGGAGACAGATTGCCGATCTTCATTCTACAGATAAAGCCGCGCCGTGAATTCATACACAATCTCATGGAAGCTAAAAATGTATCAGTAATTCACATTTAGTTCTTCGTCTCAACTGTGACGACCTTACATTGGTGGCCTTCTTTCTTCACCGTTCCAGTCTTAAGATCTAATATCCTGCCGGTATTTTGAGGCTCTTGGGTAGATAACTGCTCCCGCACTTTTTCCACATCCTCTGGATGGATGTTATCGTAAAGGCAGGATCCATACCAGTCGCTTTGCGAGTAATTTAACACTGGTGCCACTGAGTCAGACACATAGATTATTCGTCCGGTATCACAGGTTACTACGAAAAGGAATCCATCTGCAGCCTCCAGGATTAGGTGCTTTAGCTCTTGGTCAGTTAAAAATGACGGCTTATATGTCCCATCAGTGCCGGTATTTCCAGTACCTGCAAGTAAAATCAAGTGTACACTTCTTAGGATCAACTGCATAAATATGGTTAATAAAGTTTAAAAATTCCTGATGGTGTTTCAATTTGGAGTCACAGCCCAACGATCTTGTAAAAAACGAATTACAACTACTAGAAAATAAAAGTATTTTCACACGAATGTAAACGATAAGTTTCACATGTTCTTTTCACCAAGGGTTATGCCAAAACTATCTAACATAACGCAACATTATTCCAAGAGAGACAATGCGATCTCGTTGTCCGTTCATTTTTATTCACGATGCGTTTTGCATATCCGATATAGACTTCTAAGAACGTCAGTAAAAATTTTTATTCAAAATAATGTACCTGTTAGGAATATTAAAAGCTAAAGTGTTGACTAACAATAATTGTCTTAACCGGTAATTGTTTTCTGATTTTACATAAAGCCTCGTTTGAAATTGGGTTTAACAACGTTTATTTTTATGTTAGTACTTGAATTGAATAATTTCCAAACTGGTGAGGATTTCGGCCTCTTAGGCCGCCGTGGTGTAAATAAAGTCTTTTCGGCCCCGAAACTCACCACTTTCAACCGATAGCCGCAAGCACGTAAGTTTTTTGATCGTGAAATTGGTGAAACGGAATTTCTTCTTTCTCAGAAGTGGCTTACTCGATACAGCAGTCATCTCTGAAGATACAAGCATCTCGTGCATACGAAACGTCAGGATTTGATTCTTTTATTAGAAAATATAGCTTAGTTAAAGAAAATTCTTGGCTAATTTTTGGAGAATATTTCACCATTTTACTAACTGTGTATAAGTGTGAAACACTTTCATGTCAGTCAGGCAGTTGAAAATAATCGTTATTTTAATTAGTATTACCGCTTGTTTTGCGAAGCAAACCATAACGAAGCATTAGACTAGTTTAAACCATGAAACAAATAATCTTTGACTAGTTGCGTACTGGGTCCTCATATAGTTTCAAAACGTTCCCAAGCATTTAGCCCATTATAATGTGGATTGATTCGGTCTTCATTGAAATGATTAGCATTAAGAAGCGCTAAGCAATTAATGAATTTCTATACACATGCAGGAACATGTAAAAACAAGAATCTCAAGCCAACATATAATGTGAAAGTTCGCTACTGAACAGCAATATTCAACGAAATTGCTTGCAACTTAGAAAAATCTATCATGATACTAATGTATATATTAAACAAATAATTTTTGTTAATATTACATAAAGAAAGTTATTATAGATAAAACATGCAAGACTGAAGGTCTGCACTTTACCGTTTGGGCGCAGGTAGGTTTTTCCGCCAATGGCTGTTTCGTCCATGATTGCCTTTTCACGTGACAACTCGTCCTCTGGAAGCGGATAAATAACATTGAATTTCAAGTAGATTCAATATGGTAATTTAGACAGGAATTGTCAGAAAAACAAATAGTAACCAAATAATAAACCAGTGTGGAAACTATTAAAACCTACCTGCGCAATTAGCAAAAACAGTAGCTTTTATAGAAGTTTATATGTTCAGGTTTTCAAACAAATATTTGATTGCACATGGCACGGATCAAATCTGTGAAATATGTTCTATTGCATTTTGCTGCCTAAAATGTCCTCTTTTACGATTTTTAACATCCCGAAGAATATTCGAGCTTGTTACGCAATTAACCCAGATATGCCTAAAATAAAACTAGATAAACAAACGCAAAAATTTGCATATATTTTTTGCTAATGAAACTGTTTTCCACCTAAATAACATTTATATTTTTTTCCGTTTATAAAAAAATTGGTGTACTATATATAGTACGCTAGGAATATCCCAGGTAAATTAATTCACTTGGTATGATACATAGTAAAACATTTCACATGCAGGCCTATACATTGCATTTATGACATCTCGTAGTTGTACGATTAGCCACATCTTGTTTGCTTAGGCTGTGGTACTACCAAGTGATCCAGATGATCAAATCTCTCATCAAGATTTTCCGATGCGGATGGTCGTCCTCTTGAAAATGAGGGCGTTTTTTTGTTTTGCAATAGCAAGGCTGTAGCAATCCTTCTCCTGAATTTGAGCTGATCCATTTTACCACCAAACTTTCGATGTAAATGCCATGCAATAAGTTCTGTAAAGCCCAATATTTTGGTCGGACTGTCTACTCCTCCCATATTTGCATTATATAAATGCACCAAATGGGGTTGTTCAATCTGAATATTTTTATTTTATTTCCGAGAAAACCTTCTTGCACTGTGAATTCGGTTCACCCCAACGGAATTTGAAGCCAAAGATACTAAATTGTTGTCATTCCATTTGACTATAATTATATCCTGGTCTATAATTTTTGCATAATCATATGAGCCACGATTTTGTTTTTTAGTTTCAACTTTTAATTATTTGGAATTTCATCATCCGCGGTAAAATAGAAGTTATTTGCAGGAAGATCTTTCTTGATCCATTTATACACCCCTTTTTTCTTTGCGGTCATTTTTTTGGACGTTACCGGGATCAATCGAGATAGCGGCAGCTCATCCTCTGATGAAAAATTATCATCGTTGTACGGTTTCGGCTTCACATTTATTTCGGCAGGAGCTTGAAGCTGTGATGCGTCACCAGAGTCTTCTTCGGTGATTTCTCCTTGCGGGGGAAACATTGTTACGTCATTAGTTTGCTCTAGAATATCGTCATCATTTTCCAACATGCAAAAAGCCTCATTTAGCGAGAACCCCCTAAAAACTGAAAATGTTGCCCTTAAATTTCCCATGGAGTTACATCCTGTTAGCCAATCAAATCTTAGTAATTTATTTCACATAACATTGATACAAAATACAAAAATGTAATATTTAGAATCTAAAACCGCATTTAAAATTAAAAAAGAGCACAGTAGCATATCTGCCTGGCGTACTATATTTAGTACATCCAAACATATGTTAAAAAAAAACACTAAAATGCAATAACTAAGAACTCCAATGGACAGTATCATAAAAGCATGTATTTTGGCTACAGAGTAAAGCAATTACATATATTTATTTACAATTTTTAAAACTAATAATTGACTTACTTTGCAAATGTCACCCCATAGTCAGTTATTGTTCAATTTGCCGTCAACGTTTTTCAATACTACGGCCGTTGTTATGTTCGAAAATCCCCACAAACACATACACTTCGGTGGTTATGTCAGCAATGACATTTTAATGACGTTTCGTTTTTGTAAGAGCGCGCATGGGCGTAGGTCAGTACTTTGATACTGTACTATATATAGTACGCCAGGCATATCTGGGTTAATTAAAACATATTTTTCTCGTACTCTTCACACTAAAAGCGATTAAAATGCAAAAAAATTAAATTACAAAGTGCAATATAACAGAGACTTAAAGGCTGATCTATACCTACAGCTAATAAACGCGATATATTAGCTGTGCATTATTTGACCAGGTTTCTTCAGGGTAAGCAATAATTTCCGTTGCCTTCTTTAGAGAGTTCTTTAAAGAGAAGCAAGTTTTTTCTTCGCCACCCATACAACGTTATTAAGACGCGGTTGTCTGGTTTTATTTTTACCGAACGGACAGCACAGCACGGTCGTACTTTGGTAAAAAGAAATCTTCGGATGGGATTAAATAATAAGGACATTAATCCTGGTTAGCGAAGAGTAGGCATTCTGTGGGCCATAACTAACGGGCGATAGCATCGCTGTGCACAAGTAAGTACGACCACAGAAACGGTACGAGCAGCATAGACCTCCGTTACAAGGCACCATCGTCGTCGGAGGTATCAGAGGTGCTTTCTGTCTTTTTTTCCGCTGAAGAACTTTACCGGTTACCAGCATGTACAAGGGTCGGAGTCGTAGGAATACCAATATATTATCTACACGCCATTGTCGTTTTATAAAACAGTGGTCCATTGCTTAAAAGGCTGTAATACCGCCGGGATCGCATTCGTCATTTTTACCTTCGTCTTTTCTTTTTCCTTCTGTGCCTTCTGGCCGGGCCCCTTGCACAAGCTCGGTGGCTAAAGTAATATTTTTCTTGCAATCCTCTCAAATTGATTGCTTATTTCTTTAATTACTCCCTGGGCTACCAGCCTTTATATTTCAAATAATGGGTTCTTTTAACCAACCCCATTGACGGCTTGGTGCCTGGAATCTCTTTTCATTCGTACATATCCACCAAAGCAGTCACTCGAAAGACACCCTTTAGTTTCCATTCATTGGTTAAAATCTTCAGAGCTAGACGAACCGTGTGAATTAGAAATGCTATTTATGTGCGACATTTTGAAAATTCCCAGCCAAAGCAGGCCTTTGGCTGGTCAAATCGATTATTACCAAAATTGATGGTAAATAATTTTAGCACGACTGGTAAATTTGGGTAGTACGCCTTCCGCGTGAATTATGAATGGATCTTCAGGAAACTGTCGGCACGAAGAAATTTATAGCCATTTCACGTTCTACTATTTGGCATTTTTTGACCAGTAACGGTTAGCCATGTCGTGAAACAACGTTCGATCCATTACATGGTATTGTAGAAAAATTGGGCTATTTAACGGGTGTGTTCAAAATCCTTAAGACAGCAGATGGAAAAAACTTGCAAATAGTTGATGTGAACAAAATTGCATTGATCTCTAATGCAGTGAAAGCATAAAACTCGAAAAAAAAGTTGAATCGCAACATCATCGGTTTAAAAACAGTACTTTCAAAGAGATATGTGGATACGTTTCAACCATATAAATCCAAAAACGTTGAGGGCAGGTTGCATTCGATATGATCAAAATGGGACAAATTTGCCGGATGATGGGGATAAACCGTGTAAACAAAATGCTTTCAGGCTACGCACTCCGTTGTCCTCCCCATGCTCGTGTGTTTACAAATTAACGACCTGATTCAATAAAAGGGATGAAATAAAAAGACGAAAAAATGATTCGATATTTGGGATTGTTTTAACTAATATATGTACATAGCGTTCACCTATTTGATTTAATTAGTTCGCATATTATGTATCGCGCCATGCGAATACCCAGATCAAGCAGGAACTATTTTAATTGATTTAAAACCTTCCAAACACGACTCTATTTTGAAAAATGCACATGATCAAATGCGATATTCTTTGGTTCAAAATAAGACGATCTGACCTAGGGTTTCTTACGAAAAATTTTGGCGCGTCTGCTACTGATGGCAAAAGATTTTTCAATTTTTTTTCCAATATCGGGAGAATGTTACGATGGATTTTAATGAAAGTCGCTGTGAATTTGCTCCTGCGGAACTCATGTTTTGATCGAGTTCATCCGCTTTGGGCAAGTGCTGAATTCTTGAGTGACGTGGTATAAAACCTTCCAGAACTTTTTGTTTGATTTCTGGAATCAACTGATTTTTTTGAGTTGATGCACTAATCCTTTTTGGACATTTATGGGATCTTTGTAATTTTTTTCCGGCGTAGTCAGCAATAATGTTTTTTTACACAATGTCTAAGTTTTAGACCCGGTTGTTCTTTGGAAGCGTTCTTCAGAATCTCACGAAAATAAGAAGCGCGTTTTTAGCAAAATATGGCCCTGCCGTAGGAACATATACACAGCTAGTTCCATTAACATCCATCTGACCGCTTTCTCGATATTACAAAAAACTTGATTTAAATTTTGTTAATGCAAAAAATTGTCAGTTAGCAAGAGAGTCGATAGCGGAGGAGCCAGACATTTTTGCTGAATAAAAGTTAGGCCAGATCGTCTTCTTTTGATCCAAAGTATATCGCGGTAGGTGCTCATGTGCTCACGGGACATCCGGTATATCAAGTAATTTTATGTGCAGAAAAACAAAAATATTTCATGTTTCATCTAAGGATGAAATGATTAGGAATGAATGATTTCTAATTCCAAAAACGGGCGTTAAAACTTCAGCTAGGCCTGTAAATTATTATGCTATAAACCGCTAATAAACTTTTATTTTGGCTGCATTTTTATAGGTAAAATGTCCTTAACGCAACGCCAGTAAAATGTGGAAAATTTTTACGACACCATATTCCAAATGTAATTGACATCAACTTTGTAGTTTATAGATCATTTCGTGTTATCAACTTGAACATAAGCTAAACATGCATATGACTGGACATTAAGATTAGCTCGAGTCATTGATATTTGGACATATTATCAAAAAGCACGAATATCACCATAACATAGACGTTACAAGTAAAAAACATGATATTTTTTAAGTTTTTTGCTTTTTACAGTCTTTTGCAGTCGTTGCTTGAAACGGCTTTCAGGCTGCCTTAAAAAACTGTTTCTTCCTGACGTTTCGAAAGTACGAGTGGATTGCATCTTCAGGGGTTATTTTGCTTTTGAGCAAATGCAAAACATCAGGAAGCAATACTTTTCCACTACCACCCAAAAGCCCGAAAAACTCAACAGGTACAAAAAAAAAGAATCTACATATGTAGAGAAAAACAATTATACACCCAAATCTCCTTGATGTCCGCCGGCGCTTTCATTTAATCATTTTATCCAAACAAATTAACCGTTACCTCCATACAGGCCTGTTAATTAGTATATTTTCTATAAAGTGTAGGTGTTGCGAGTATGACTGGAAGTCGTTTTAAATAAAAGGCAAATTTTACGAATAAAATTCTGATACACTTGCACCGCCGCTGCTTAAAAAATGAACTCATTTCGATAAAGAAAAATAACATAATCCTCGCCCTGAAACCAGATTTACGACGTCCAAAGGCGTAGACTACAATTTAATCAGACGTCGTTGAATCTCAATATTTACGCGGCTTAAATGGTTCAAAAGAAAAGAAAAACCCCAGCTTTTATCTATAAAATCTCAATAGTCCGGAGCCAAGTCTTGAGTTCTTAAAGTCTAGAACATGGCAGCTCGAATATCGTCGAAAAAAATGGCAATTTCATTATTGAAGGCCTGGAATATTATTGACCATATCGACAAAACAGCCACGTGTGAAGTAGAAAAAATGATGAAACTGCTTTGAATACAAAGCGGCCATTGGTTTAATTAAAACAAGGCTTTCTAGAAGAGTTGACGTGTCAGGATTGATCAATAGGAATTTCAGCAGTTCGAATCGTCATTTATTCAGCTTACTTGTACTCGAAACTACTTAAAATAGCAACAAAAATTCTTGGTTTATATGGCATTATTCTTATACAGAGTGATTCAAAATTGGCGTCATCAATTTTAAGGGGTAATAGGGGCTCACTTATAGAGTACGAGAAAAATATCGAATTTTTTTCGATAATTTCTAGAAGATATTAACAGCTTAAAAAAAATTGTTCCATGTTTAATTGGTAGCACATTGGAATACTTAAGCATTCAAAAAGAAAAATTACGATCTTTGCTTCAAATTACGAAAATTTTTTATATTAAAAAAGTTCTTTTCTACAATTTTTTGATGAAAAGTTAAAGCGGCAATGATGTTTTTGTCATTAACAGATAGTTACAGGTAGATAGCCTTTGTCAATAATAACAATAATTTGTCAAATTGCGACTTACTTTGACGCTCCTTTCACGAATTTGCGGATATGCGATTAGTTCTGGAAAAATGCCACATTAACCTAGCAGAAGCTGTAAAAACGCCAACAAAGGGCTAGAGATACTGGACGACAATAGATGTTCGGGTTCCAGACACAGAAGAACCAGTTTTAGACATAATTGCAGCAGAGCCTCCAACTGACACTTTCCCAAGCACCAAATAAATACCGGCTACATTCCTACCACGTACCTATGTAAGATACACACAGCACAATGACACATTAAACCAATGGATTACTGAATACCGGTACCAATTGAGCAGGAGTTAATTAACCGAATACGAGAAGCTGCTCGATAAGAGTGGATAATAAGGAGATTACACAGGCACTAACTTGTTTCGAGTTAATGACTCAAATGTATATTTATTTGTAGACATGAATTCCAGGTTATGAGGACAATAATTGACATTTCGAAAAGGTGCGTCATAGATAGACATGCGTTTTTCAATTTTAATGTCACTTTCTGTATTATTTAATGGTTCCTGGAGTTTTTAATTAATTACGAAGCAACAGGTATTTCCGTAATGTTAATTAGGCAGTTCACCTTGAAAAACATTGTTGCCGTCTTTTTAATACAGTTTTTTTGCAAATTTCTCAGTTTTTAAAAACAAATAATTTTTTAAACTATTTTTTCTCTACTCCTAAAACATCGCCAGACAACACCTCTAGAGGAATGACGCCAATTTTGACTCACTTTGTATATTCCTCAGGTTTTAGCCATATAAAGACACATTTTATTGTCAATTTTTAGAGCTGTAGATGATTGAGGGTAATGTAGGTTTGAGACCATGCAGAACTTTTCATTTTTTCCATGCAACAAGGAAATTCTTAAAATTGCAAAAAAATTATTAAATTATTGTTTTTTTTTCATTTAACCGTCTTTACACTTTCCCGTGAAACTAGCGTCACTTTAAATGAAGAATACCATCAGGATCGCAGATCATTTTCAAACATTCACCGACGGGTAAGGAAACAATTAAAATTAAACCATTTCCGAAATATGAAACAAAAACGACAAAAGCATCCAAAAAAAATCATGATGATTTAAAGCTCTCAATTGAAAGATATTTGCTGCACGCATGTTACTGGAAACTCTACTGCAGGTTTATTACACAAAGAGCCGCAGTAGTTTCCATGTAAATGTGTTTATTAACGAATCTCTTCATGGTGTATTGAGCAATAAAACAGCATTTAAGCCAGTACTAAAGCGTGAAAAAATGGGTGTTACCTCGAAGAGCCTTCATGTGCGCTACAGCCATCCGCAGAATGGTAAGCTTGTCAGGTTTCCTGGCGAGGGCGCTGCAGGTGGGCACCATATCTGACAGCTCGGTAATGTAGGCTGTCATCTTGTTCCTTCTCCTCCTCTCGATTTCGCAATGATTCTCCCTACAGTAAGTTGCAAGAAAAAGCCATCGGTCATTACATCTTCTGTCTAAGTTGACACGGATAAATACTACTCGAAACAAGTAAAAGAAAAAACATTTTTGCTAAAACCTGCGTGGAACATATAAACCTGGACATCATTATTCAGCTCTTGGAAAAGCATTAAGAAAATGTGGCAGTAAAGCCTATAATTGATAATCTTCGTAGCCCGTACTCTTAAGGTTTACGTCTTTTTATGGTTATTCCTAAAATAATGGTTCTGAGTCCCGGCGACTTAACATTAAATTACGTTATGAATACTGTTAGGGCAGCCTTGACCTGTGAAAATGCGTATAATCGCTCGAAAATTTGATCCATATCATCATCATCATCATTATCATCACACCATCTCTGGCTGGTGCATCAAACTCGATAGTTCGATGGGAAAATTAATAGGCGGTTATTAATATTAAAAGACCTATGTAAAATAGCGTGTTTCCCTACATGGTTCAACTACAACATCAAATTCTTGTTAAACTACCGGAGCTGAGATGTTTGCCTTTTCTTCTCTTACTTTAGTCTATTGCTAGGCTTGATGAAAAATCTTGAAAATAATTCACTGTGTTGAAATTGTCTTCGCGCTAATTTTTAGCGTTAGCGTTCCGTTATTTTCAATTCGAAAGTAGCAATTCTCTAAATGAAAATTTTGATGATGGTGGCAAATGCAGGTTTTCGTTTGTAACAGAGCAACACCATGTTCAAGGAGGCTGCAAATGAATAGCAGAAGCAGGCGATATGGACGACAATTTTAGGGCTAACCTTCCTTGTTTAACGTCGGCTGTAGTGACTGTCTATTAGCAATATTTTCGATATATTTTGAAATTTTAGATAGGGAGATAATAAAACAATAGTCTTCGTCTTTGGATTACAAAATTTGTCAAAAACCGTGAAATAAAAGGAAACCGCCGTAAAACATCCAATACATCAACTCCATGGACAACTGTGTCCATTTTCCTTCTGCTTCTTGAATCGCGTCAAGAAAAGAAAAAGTACAGTATTTTACATAGCTCCTATCTGCACTTTAGGATTGTATCAAATAACAATAAATAAATAGCGTAGTACACGGCAGGAAGACAAATGAAAACAGATATGTTTAATGGTATTTTCCTTTAAAATAATAAATTTAGCGGCCTCGCAAAGCCGACTTGCGTGTTCAGTTTATGAGGCTTCTGAAGAAAAAGCGAGGGTAAAACAGGTCAAGAACATGATTACATAGAATAACCAAATTAATTGGTTATAACCAAAACTAATTCGAATTGATCTAATCGGTGGCGATATTGGGAACTCGATTGTGTTCGTAATTATCTCGAATCAAGATAATAAATAAAAGAATCTGTTATTGCCAATATTATTTTCAGGGGTTGTGTGATTGAAATACCGAATTTTTACGCTGCAATGGCCTGCAACGCCCAAGTCTTGAAACAATTCGATTTTAATTTCGCTGTAGTTGACCATGTCGGTAAAGTACTGTAATAATAATCAAGTCCTTTTTGTCCATTTCCGAAGAATACTATTGTACCGGTTTTTACGATGCGTTAGTTGTTCTCTAGAAAATAACTGAAGATAAAAGCCTTTAATTCATAATAATTGTGGTTATTGAAAAACTTGTGGTGAAGTATTGCAGGTGAATTAATTGAAAGCAAGATCTTATGAGAGTAAATTACAAAATTCCGAGCCATAGCAATCAAAAAATAACACAGCCTTCAACGGTAATGTACGAGCGGCAATACAACAGACGAAAGTGAAGATATTATTATTGTTACATGACATACACCTACATATTAAATGTAATTGTAGCTGCGATTGAGACTTCATATCGCTGCCTTAAGGCTCTTATTTTCTTGTAAATACCATTTTACCAGTAGATCGAAACGAGTGATTCTCGTACTCCGCTGGACGATATGAGGGCATGCGGAAATCGTCCAAGTCATTGCCGAAGCTAAATTTAAAATATCCTTTTTTGGATTTGCAAGATGGACTTTTCAATTTAAATGAACCTTGACTGAATTCGGCCTTTAATTATCATCACTGGCAATCTCTAACCGAAATAGGTTTGTCAAGAAATATGCAGTTTCACTCAGAGAAAATCCCTGTATAAAAAAATTTGTTCTCAACAATCACTTCCACTGCAAATATCTAAAGTAGGAGACTTCCATCGGTCAGTTTTTCGGGCTCTTAGGCCAGACAGAATTTCTTCAACAAAGAGAGAAAAAAGGCCAGGAAAAACTCACACTCCGATTATTAAAGTGAACTTCTCTAAAGTAATGGTATAAGAACATGTTTCTTGCTGAAAACTCATGAAATGTTCACTGCAACAACGGACAACTTAAACAGAGTAGGTTGTTTAATGGCATATTTAATACCCAATTTAATTAGCGAGAGTTTTTTAATACTGTTATTTACTATAAATTACTGCTAATTCGTCGACAATTTAAAGCAACGATTTTTTTAAATCGAGGCAAACACTGAAATTGTTTGATTGCAACAGCAAAACAAACAAGCATTCCAACATAATGAAGCAAATTTTATTCAAAATTGATGCAATTTCTATGAAGAATACACTGAATGGAAATTTTTTGCTAGATAATAGCAGTCGATAATCGCTTAATTACTAGAATTAACCGGAATGGGATGTCGGTTCGACTAGAATGGATTTAACTGCTTTATCACAATCGATTTTAATAATTAATGGCCCAATTGAGTGCGTTTGTAAGCAAATAACACAAAATTAAATAAAGAGGAAATAAATAAGGAAAAAGTGATAATCAAATTGAAGTTTGAGTCCAAACTTAGAAACTTGAAAACAATTAATCTCAATGATTTAAATGTCCTGTGGCAAATAAGGCTATTAAACTAAGAGGTTTTGTTCCATCAATTTACTCGCTTTTGCCATCTGAAAATCAATACACCTTTTAAGAGATTTCACGGATTATAAATGCCGAAATGATTTCCTTTGAAGTACTTGCGTCTACTTCTTCGTAAAAGATATACTTTATTAACCTGGAATAATTGAGTCTCATTCGGAAGGTTAATATCTTACAAGTGCTCATGTGATGTTGGCAAGAACTTACAAACATGTTTAACTGCTGGTTATTTCATGTTCATAGACCTCCTTTTAATTGATTCTCTGGCTCCCAGCATCGTAATATGTCAATTCCAATATCGGTTGTTTGAATTGAAGTAATTGTAGAACAGCAATCAATTTAATTGAAATGTCCCACAGTTATTACCCAAAGCAATAACCTTTCATTTGATTTGTCTGTTTTTAGTAGATCGATTTACGAGCAGAAATAATCTTGATTTTGTTAGCTAACTATTTATAGTTTCTTTGCATTGGCGAATCAATAGCAACAAACAAAAACAAATCTCATTCAAATAAAATAACGATATTCGTTTTCCACTCGTGAAAATCAAGTGTGAATCTACTTGAATAAGGAAGCAAATACAATCATAAAAGCATGTTTAATTAATAGAAGAAACACAAGCCGCGATAAGAATTGCTACAATCAGAGAATTGTAAAATAGTTGTTTAACAATTAGCAATTAATTTTTAATAATTGTAAATGGTATAAAAGTGAAAGATTGCATTCAGATAGATCAGACGTTAAGTTCACTAAGCGTGAACTGTAATGAATATAAATAATTAATATGTGCAGTCAGATTTGCAAGCGAACCTAAAACAGAATAGCACTTTTTCCTCCACTTATGATCTGATTCGTAAATTATACAATTACAGTGTAAACATTGGTACAGATGGTGTACAATTAATTAAAGAACAGTATTGGAAAAATATGTATTGAGATCATAAAAAATAATCGACTGCATTTATTTGTACATACAATTGTTCTCAATTTAGGATCTAAAAACTGTTGCTTAAAAACTGCTCGCTTAGCTAATCGAAACTAAAAGGATTTTAATGAATTAGACATAACGCATTGTTCTTGCCCCTTTTTCAGATAATTTCATCAGAAATGCCTCGGTAGTGTTTATGGTTTTTGACGTAAATTCCCGTAAAATATTTGAGACCGAAACAGATGTGCCATATTGCTTGGACCTCGTTTTTTCAGCTTTTACCTTGAAGAATTCTATTGACGTCCGGATATTTTTATGATTGGAACATACTTTTAAAAACTGTTTAGTCGTTTCTTATAATTTCGAGTCGAGTTTAATTTTTGAACCGTCCGAACAAAAGCAATTTTGTCCTCTCTCACGTCTGCTGTCCCCATATAATCAATTCTGTTCAATTATTGATTATTTACTGTAATTGTCTTATTTCCTAGGAGTACCACACAGTGGGGCCAGCGGACTGGCCGGCCGCCAGACAAAGAATTATCTCCTGGTCTTCGAGTCCATTTCCGAAAGTGTTTTCGTGTTCGAAATTGCTTAAAAAGTCAGCCCATATCCAATTTTCGTAATTATTGCCACCGAGGCTCAGGACCATCTTATCACTAGCAGTCAGAAATGGGTTCGTTCATCGGTTATTAGAACGGGAAAATTACTATTTAATAATAATGGGTCAATTGACCATCAGCAGCAGCACGCAAAACTGCCCGCAAGTATACAAAAATCACTTTTGAGTTTCAATTTTCAACACTACCTAATATACAAAATGGCCAATAGAAAATATTATTGCGGGAGTTTTATCGGTTTACTTTTTATGACCACTACCAGGCACCGGAAAATAATCGTTGACATTCTCCAAGACTTTATGAGAATATCAAAATTCCAATCCCGTAGCCAATTTTAATTTATTATGATTGTTGGATTGGCTGGATTTCTAGTGACGGAAATCCCAATGTACGCAACTCCATACTTAACAGTTAACAGCCCATTACATATATGTTGTGTAATAGGTGTTATTTCGGTTCTGACTCAGAAAGGTCCTAACCAAGACGCTTAGAGCATGACAATGAGGTAACGGATTAAAAAAATTATTTATCAATTATTGGATGTATGGGGTCATGTGACTCAAATAAGCTAAAGATACTGGCCTCGCGGTGTGGCCTGTGAGAATTGAGAACCTATAATTTCCCATGTACTTAAAGAAGCTAAGAAATGATAAATATGTAAATGCGAGAAATCCAATCGTGAACAATACGGTCTAAATACAGGTTAAATTCCTTCCAATATTATAGCGAAATCGAGTTACAAAATTGCCCAGACCCTTAAAAGTAGGCATTTCAAAAATAACATATCATTATGCACCGAGAATATACTTCGTACAAATTATCTGACAGATCTTTAAACTGTGGGAACGGCCCCAAATCTTGCCGTTATTTAAATTTTAAAATAAGTTGAAGCATACTGACGTTTATAACAGTTTAACTATCCCATGAGAAACGAAAAAAATGTAATCAGTTTTATTGCGGGTAACATTAATTTTTATGGTTCATGTAATTGCTACAATTACAGAAAAAAAAACCGTTTATTTAGATGTTCTTTGTAATAAAAAGGTATTTATTGCATGTATAAGTCGGTTTTAAATAGTTATTAACGCTATTATTATTATTCTATGACCGAGATATTTGTTATGGTATCGGTTTTCTGGCAAATGCAAAATTAAAAAACTTAAATCGTTGCTCATTCCAACACGCCCCCCGTCAATAAATAAACGTCTTGCACTGGCAGGGCCTCTAATCGGAAAACCAGCATATCCAGATAGAAAAAGCATCCTCATCTCATAACGAAAGCCACTAAATCGAATCTCCACAAATTACTGTCAAATAGCGAAGAACGGACTCGAGATTGAACTCTTCCGCAAACTTAAGAGGCTAGACCTTCGCCCTCTTGCGAAACTGTAACATCCAGAGCCACGGTTCTTCTTCAGGCTCTTCGGCCCGTGGCTTTGGCATTAAAAGGGAGCGAACAGTGTTTCGAGCACCAACCCATGATTATTTACACATAGAGTGGGTTTAGTTCAAATATTTCGCTCATTACACTGTTGTGCAATTGGCGTGTTGTTTTTTGCGTGCAATAACCCATCCAAAGCTGCACCTTAGACTATTTTACAACTCGCATGGGAATTGCAAGGTTTCCAGAATTCATTCAATCCGGCTCGAAGGTCCAAAGTGATTTGATATTCCCTCTTGAAATTAGCATGCGAGGTGACCGAAAATGATCTACTGTCATTGGTTTTCCTCAACGCAAACATGAACAGATGCGATGATGGTGGCGAAAAGTGACACCAATTGAGGAGACAAAAGCACAGGAACCCCAGCTGGAGAACATGGTGGATTTGGAGGAGGATGTCGAGAGTTCGGTTGGCGTTATAGATTTGGCTGTTGAAACCACACTTCAACAGTTATCTCTTAAAATTCGAATTCATCTATCGTTTAGGCTGGCGGATCAGTGGATCAGCGGTCGTGTTCCCGAGCAATCGTGACCAGCCGCGGGCTGAAAGGGGAGAGGGACGCGTCGTTCCCACGCTGCTGCGCCGCGCCCCTCTCGCCGCCCGCAAGGACGCCTTTCGCCTCTTCTTCGTTCCTCGTTCCTACTAAGCTCAGAATTGGTGCAATCCGCAACCAGGAAGAGGAATTCCTGCTACATCACCATTAATAACATTTTAATTGTACCTCGATGTTGAAGGCGCAAGCTGACGTGGGTGTGATTACCCAGCTCCAACGAATAAACTCTGATTTAAGTGTGTGCCACAACATGGGAATGCTTTTAGATCACCAATAAGTCAATAATATACAATGAGTCTCAGAAGTAATCTATAATGCTGGGTTTATACACCAACAATAAAGAATAACGCATAAGATAATTGTTCAATTAGCAATCGAACCGTTTATAGGCAGAATATGGCCTAAGGAATGGCGTCTATAGATGGCGAATAGAGAGATATGGAGCACACATTGCCGCTATGCCACTAATAGTGCCGCCGTTAATTTGACACCTGCACATGCGCTGTTGATGTCTTATGACACGGTGTAAATGAATTATGGCATAGATACAGACAAGGAGCTACGCAGTTCACTCTCGCACACACACAGTCGCCTGCGAGTTCCACCTGGCTCCATTAGGCCGTTCGGCTATTATAATAGTGTGTAGACTGAGGTCCGTTCGTGCGAATATAATAGTGTGTAGTCCGTGGGCCGCTGTCCTTTGGATGCGTTTTCGTCCGAACTGCTTTCCTCAGAAATCGTGCGAAAAGGAGCTAATAATTCAATTTCATTGCTCGTCCACTAGATCCGAAATCATTCGTACGAACTATTGTGAGGACGGAATCCTTTGGAAGGATTTCGCCAGATTTCGCATATCGTTTGATTTTTACAAAGCATTATTTTAGGAATTGACAGACGCCTACCGGGCGCACAGTTTCAAAATATTTTTGTAATGTACAGGGTGTCCCAAAACCCCTATATGTATCAAAGTTGTGTTTCTTAAATGAAATACCCTATATACTATTGCATTGTTGGATTAATAAGTTTTTGTTTTAATAAGGTTTATAATCCCTAAATCTTAAGGATTTTTAAAAAATCCTAATTTTATCAAAATCCAATCTAATTTTCATTTCAATCAAATGTGCAAAAAGTTGATGGTAGTAACTTATTTTTAAACCACCTTGTGACAATAAATTTACCGCTAAAAATCGCGTTCTAAACTAAAAATCTTCGAACGTTTTTGCCACACAAAAACACACCGCTGAATTCAAAATTACTTCTCGGACTTACTGTATAAGCCGAAGTTGATAGTTACCTAGCAAATCTTTCTTTGTCTTGGATACTGTCGTCCTCCATCCTTGCGTATTTGTTACCACTTGGGTCGTCTTCATCTGACCTGCAAAAAACGGAAAGACACTGATTAGAGATACGTTTTTACCAAATCTATCATTGCATCTAACATAGATCCGACTCCGGATGCCCCAGCAATAGGAACACCTTGATTATCCATGTCCACTGAACTTTCAAAAAAATGCGCATAAAGTTGTCTAATTGAATCCAATTTGCATAGAACAAGCTCGGACTTCACACAAGCAAACGGAAACTTGACACGTACAGAGTGTTTTAATATCTGCTGCCCTAGGCGAGCTTTAATTCTTTGCCGCACGCTCACGTGCATCGACATACCGCTATACCAGGTCGATTTGAAAACTCCTAAACCAACCAAAATACTGGTACAAATGGAATTCAAATAATCTAATAATACATGCGTTTCTGCAGGAATTTTCTGAAAAATTCACCAATACCGGGCCGTGCGATTTGAAGGAAATCAATTCAATCAGACAAGGTTTCGACAATACTATACAGAACTTTAGTATAATACATATTTTTAAATTCAATTTATGCTCGCTTTTTTAAGAAATTGCAATATTTTACCAATACCTGCTTCAGGTAGTTTAAAGTAAGTACATTGTTGTAATTTAAAAACTCGCTTTATTTAAAATTGCGTTTCAAAAATGAAATTCCAAAACGGTGACTTCAAATGACCAGCTCGGTTACCTGACTTGACTTCCCTCGATTTTTTTCGTACTAGTCATTTTACTTTACTCAACTGGAAGCATTGCAAGAGCCCCGATATTTATGAGGTCGTCGCCAGTAATAAATACAATGTTTTATTTGGATATATATAGGTGCAAATATTTTCATCAGTAAATAATTGTGTTATTCAGTGTGTAAATACACAGGGTGATTGAACAACACTCTCACAAACTTCAGCATTATTTTAACCTCGAACATTCTAATAAACTAAAAAGTGTATTAAAGTGGAATTATAAATTATATAAATTTATTAATATATCCGAAATGAAACATTTTTTGGTTCTCCAGTACCCACATTACATTCCATATTTTTGAAGAGAAAAATGGTGCGCCTTTTTACCCTCACGACCTTTGATTGCTTGTTTTTGCTGTTGAGTTTTATAAGACTAAAATAGTCAAAAACATATTAATGCACGTCTTGGAATCCTCAGAACCCTTATTTTAATTCAAGCATTGAAACTATTGATGATTGATTTTAAAGCGTAGCTAGTCAAGTTCGATTTCGCTTAAAATATTAACGAATCCAAACTGATGACTCACAATTAAGGCTGTAAATGAACCGAAAAAATGTAAGCTAAGTTGTTCAAGAATGATTTATGAAGATAAATTAAATTTAACTTAAACAAATTCTACAAAATGTCCTTCCTTAGCAAAAACACAAGCTTGAAGTGTCAATTGCGTAGAATTTCGTTCTCGTCCTAAAATGTCCGGTCAGACTCTAATTTCTTCAAAACCATCGATTATCCTCTCGCTTAAAACATTTTCTAAATAATGGACTTCAAATGTATCCACAAGTAAAAATCAACTGTTATTGTGAGGAGTTTACGAGATGCATTATTAATTTTAGGCCGGTTTTAACTCGGTTAGCGAGAACTGATAAGGTCGAAACCGGTTCTAGAGGTGCCTGAGATTCGCACGAAATTTCTCGAAACCTGCACTTGCTTAGATCAGAAACTCATCAGTTATGTCAGGCCTAAAGATCTAGGCTGACTTTTATGGTTCCAAATTTACGACACCCGTAACACCCGAACACTTACTTGTTCGAGCTAATTGGTAGATTAGATATTAAGCAGATGCATTTTTTGTCAACAGGTTAAGCTACGATTTTATTTACATTTTTCAGAGTAGTTTTTAAGTCAGGCAGTCAGCTGAAAATCACAAAAGAGTTTGGTGCATAAATTTGTTGACAGTCAACTTTTTTAATTTTAAAAAGCAAAGTCTCGGCAATTGATCGTGAACTCATGATGGTTCTAATGCCGAAATTTTCATTGTTGTTTTAAACTCGTCAAATTCACTCTGTCCACAGTAGCAAAGTACCACAAACCAAGTTTGTATCCTACCTTTGGGATTAAAAAT